TATATATTAAACCACTCTTTTTCCTGTGAAAAACCGTTTCCTGTGAACACCAATAGTCTTTGCCACCAGTTTAAAACTCTACCAGTTCACGTACAAGTGCAGTTAGCTCTCTTTCCTTGGTTGCTGTCAGACATAGACTTTAATCAATCTATTATACAAATCATACCCTGCACAGCACATCCCAGGCTGGAATTCAGGACCAGGACAGGCACTGGACACAGCCTGGCATCGAAGAACGTAAGAACTGTCAATCACCTCTCGCTCCCTCAGCCCCATGGACTGACACCGCTTATGGCACAGCTGCTGAGGTGCCATGGGTACCTGTAGCAGACCCAGCTTTCCTCTGAACAGTGCTCACGGGTTTTCAACCAGGGCCCCACCAATACCACCTCTAACCAACGGCCTCTCTTGGAGGGTCCTGATTTGTAACAAAACATAGCTTTAGCTAAACAGAAGAATGGCTGTTTCTCAGAAGGTCCAGGAGGCTGCGAGGACAGAAAAGAACCCTTCATTTTTGCAGAACAAGGCAGAGGTCACAAATGGTAAGCTCCAATAGGGCCATATTTCTATGTTCTGAAGCCTGAGAGAGGACAGATGAGGGAGTCTTTGCCTTAGCTGGTCCAATGAAAGGAAGATGCCCTAACTGAAGTCAGTAAGGTATGAGGTCTGTGGGATCTGAGAGCCTAGCGAGGTCAACCATCTTCCAGTCACTCTTAGGTGCATCATATACTTTGCCTTCCTAGTCAAGCTAATATTTACATGAAAAATATGCTAAGTTATGGACAAAGTCAATCTAGGGTTTAAACTATCCCCTTGGATCACTGACATGTGAATAAATTAGCTTTTATTACATATAGACTTCTGTCCTGGATATAAGTACTTGGTCTTTGAGAACTTTTAACTTAATGACTTGGGAGAGGGTCAAGTATTTGCATATATCTTAGAAGTCTGTAGTCATACATGTCATGTATTGAGCCCTTTCTACATGGAAACCAGTTCTAGCAAGGAAACGCAGGTAAGCGGAAGAAGCAGGTGGCAAGGACAGGGGATAGTGGCAGCACTCAATGCAGAGGAGCTTATGTGCATGTGTGTGCTTGCAGTGCATGCAAGTGTGCATGTGTTGTATGCCCATGGCCCTGACCACAGCTGGAGAGATACGGAGGAGCCAAGGAACGAATGGCCTTGTATTCTGAGCTAAGGAGCTTACATTTGATTTTTAGAAGCAACTCTGAACCAATTAAACATTTTAAGCAGAAGGGCCTGCTCAAATTTGAGCTTAGATTAGAGGGAGGGGGCAAGACTGAGGCTGGGCGGTCTGTCTAGAGGCTGGTGCAACAATCCAGTGAGAGATGGTGAGTCTATGAACTAAAGCACTGGCAGAAGGGTGGAAAGGAGGAGATTGAGGGGAACGGCTGGAACCAACAGGCTTGGTGGTTGACTGGAAGTGAGAGGGAAGGAGGGGTCAATGAGGATTCCCAAATCTCTGGCCTAGAGAATGGGTAGACAGTGGTCTTTTCAACTAAGTTAGGGATCACAGAGGGAGGAGAAATCCTGCTTCCGCCACACTGAGCTTGATGGTTCTGTAGGATACCACATGGAGATTTCTAGTTTCTGTTTACAATCCCAACCACAATTGCAGCTGAATGTTTTGAGGAACCAGAAAAATTCACTTTAAAGTTTACAAGGGAAAATCAAGGTCCCCAAATAGCTGGCCAATTTTAAAGAGAAGAGAAGTGAGGGGGATTCATTTCCACCAGACTTAAGGTTTCTACAAAGGCTTGGTGTTAAGAACCCATATGCACTGGCACTAAGATAAGCAAATAAATCAGTGGTGCAGAAGAGAGACCCAGGAGCACAGTAGGCAGAGGGACTTGCAACATGATAAAGGGAGCTCCATAAAACAATGGGGACAGCTAAACTGTTTTGTTGACAATGACTGGGAAAACTAGAAAAATGAGACTGGCTAAGACCACCACCTTATACCTTAATCCAGACAGATTAAAGATTTTAAGTAGAGAGTAAAATGATAAAATAGCTAACAGAAAAAAACATTGGAGATTATCTTTGTGACCTAGGTATGAGTATAGCCTCTACAAACAAGACTCCAAAAGCAAAAAACCATAGGGGGGAAATGTAATCACATGAAAATAAGGGTTTAAAAAATAGATTAAACAATACTTAATTTATTATGACTGTTTAGGGATGCTGAGTTAGTCTGGGGCTGAGAAAGGCGAGTCATGAGGATCCATACAGCTTGTGAGGGGGTCATCTGGGATTACTGCATTTCTCTTTCTGCGTCATCCTCCTGAGTAAAGTCTAAACTATGATCTGTGGGGGTTTTTATTTGATTAAAGATTCCTGTCCCTCAAAGGACATTATAGACAAAGTTAGCATCTAACAGAGAAAAACATTTCCGTCTTCAGTCTAAAACTGACAAGAGTGATTTCAATGCTATACCAGGAAATCAAGATAAAAACCCCAATTTAAAATTAAAAGAAGGTTCTGAAAAAAAAAGCTGGAGGAAATGAGTAGGCAGTTTGCAGAAGAGGAAGCCAAATGACTAACAAGTATATGAGGAAATGCCCAAACCGATGAGGAAATCAATGATATGCAAATTCAAATAATAGTAAGATATCACTTGCACAGTTTTGGAATAGCAAATGTTAGAATGGTGGACACCCAACAATGGTAAGGATGTAGGAAATAGGAACAATATTTTGGGAAAGCAATTTGACAAAACACAGGTAGGTGTAAACCCTTACACCCAGTGATCCCTCTGGAATTCTGGCACTACTCCATGAGGGACATTCACCCTGGCATAATTTGTGGAGGCAGGAGTTCGAGGCAAGGTGGTGTCCATGAGAGGCAAAGGGTAAGAGCTGGATGCTTATCATGGAATGACAAACAGCACTGAAAAGCTCTGAACCATATGCACCTAAAGGACATGGTTAGGTCATTTAAAAAATGGTGTTGACACTACAGTGTCTTTCAAACTAGATGTGTGTTCACTGTGTGTTATATAACTTGTGGTTCCTTTACCCAGCATGCCTAGTCCAACTTTTTTCTCCAATCAATCACATCCTGGGATCCAATGTATAAATCCAATATTGCATGTCTTGTGCATAATTATTCTAAAGGATCTTATTTTGTGTACTATATGCATCAGAATAGTGTACATTGTCATATAACGTAAAAAGAAAAGTCCACATATGAATAATGCAGCCAATTATCCAAATGCCATACCAACTAAAACACCAAATAAATCTTGAACAGTGAAAAAAAATGGTGTTTAGTGAAAAAGATATGTAGCACAATTATCATTTAACTTAAAACAACTTATTTTAAGAGAAAACAAACATATTCAAGTGTTACTTCCTTGTACTCACACTAACCCAGACCCCTCTCCCCACTGCTCTCTATTCTTTTGCATGGATTCATTTTTCTTTATGGCACTAGAATGTCTACTCCATGAGAGCAGCAACCTTTCTGTTTGATCACTGTTATCTCTCCAGCTTCTAGAAGAGCCTGGGACATTGCAGGTGGTTGATAAATATTTGTACCTGAATAAATGAATAAATGGAGGACCAACAGAAAGCAGGGCCTATGGAGAGGGGAGAAGAGGGCAAAAATGAGTAGGTGAAAAAAAACAATCAAAGGAAGGACCTTGCCTGGACATATAACGGTATGTCATGAATGGTCCATAAAAGTAACTACAATTATTTTATCAAATTCATTACTGTATGATAAGGCTATCACCTGCCTGTCCAGCCTCCTCTGATTTTACTCTCCCTCTGATCACTATGCTATAGCCAAGCAGGCCTCTCCCAGTTCCTAGTATGCCCTGGCCATCTCAGGGCCTTTGCATAGCTGTCCCCTTTGCCTAAATGCCTTTTCTCTAGTTCTTCCTCTCATTCTTCCAGTTTCAGTTTAAGGTCACTTCCTCAGAGTGGGCTCCCCTAACCATCCTAGCTAGTCTTTTTCTTTCCCCTAAGTTGCTCTTATCACATCACCTGTTCATTATCTTACCAAGCTCTGTGATTACTTTGTTTACTGAAAGTCTCTACCCACTGAATGTAAGCTCCAAGACGGGGGCCTTGTCTGCTTTACCAGCACTGACACAATGCCTGGCAGAACAGGCACTCAAATATTTGCTGAGTGAATCAATGTGTGAAGAGGTGGATCATAAGGCCTGCATAGGAGAGGAGGGAGGGAAAAACGAGAGGGAAAGAGGTTGGGAGAAGATGGGAGTATTTTCGATGTGGTCAAAGAGCAGGTTTGGAGACAGACATGGCTGGATGGAGAACAGGCTTTGGTCAAACCCCTTTAAATTCTCATAACAGTGTTTCAGCATTAATATGCTGGGTAGTGGGATCATGAGCAAAACTCTTCCTTTAGAGTGGCCGATATTGTTACACTGTTCATATCAAATATAAATCAAGACAGGAAAAGTGTTTCTATGGCAATACATTTAGTCCTCACAACCACGCAGTGGAGGTAATATTATTCCCGTAACAACTAAAATTCTAATGCTTTCTATGTGGCAGGCACTGTCTAAGCGCCTTTCGTGTATCTACTCATTTAAATAATTCTCAAGGTCCTATTGTTGCCATTTTACTGATGAGAAACCGAGGCACCGAGTGGTTTAAGTCTTGCTCACTGTACGTTGGGCCATGATTTGAACCCTGACCTAATTCCAAAGCCTGTATCTTTCCCCTCAGCCACCAGAAGTTTTGGTAAAACTAAACTGGCTGGAGGACACGACCGGGTCAGCCAGGTAACCGGGGTTAGCACGCACCACGTGAGCCGCTGTGCCCCTTTAGACTGGCTCAATAACCCTCCAAGCCCGGACCCACGTGACTGACCGTCCAAGCCCGGGACCACGTGATACCCCCCACCCCCGTCTCGCGGGATTTACATTCTGGCGGGCGAAACTCTCTCCTCAGCCTCTCACGCCTCAACCTACTGCGAGATTTGTCCTCAGCGCACTTCCTCCACCTTACCTCCCAGCGGCGACCAGCTTCTGTAGAAAAGTGTCCACTGTGGTGTCGAGGAGCTTGATCCTCGAAATGGTAGTGCCATGGGGCGCGGATTCGGGGGACGGCCCCTCAGGCCCTTTTTCCTCACAGCCGCTGCCATCATTGGCGTTGCTTGCTTCGGCCATGTTGAAGTGGAACCGCCAAATCTAACTGCCCCGGGTGCCCCGCCCACCGAAGTCCCCGATTGGCCGCTCCCGGCGTTGGGCGCCTCCGATTGGAAGCAGCGGAATGTCTATCACCGAGCTGCCGACTGGGGAGGGGAAACTGCTGGAGGCTGAGCGCGGCACACAGGTAAGAGTAGTGGTGTAATGCACTTCCGTCCTTTCTCCGCTAGCCTGCAGAAGAAGCGCCAGCCAAAGCTCAGGGGCTCAATACAAACTTTTAATTACAGTTCAGAGACTTTGTATAGTTCAACAGTGAATGAATGTTCGCAGTTAGTATTCACAAGAGTCCGCTTAACCAAATGTTAACCGCATCATTTTCATCCCATCCCTCAATAATCCCCGCCCATCAGGTTTCCCGTCTTGCCCGGTCTCCCAAGTTTCTTCCAGTTTTGGCTATGGGCCAGTACATCAGACTTCAGCTGGTCCAGTCTATGGTCCTGGGAAAACGGAAGCCCACTGTCCCATTCCCACCAAGACATATTTTAATCGAACCCAATTAGATGGGAAAGTAGGGGCTGGGGGTTTTCATTATTAAAAAAAAAAAGCTCATCATCCTTTGAAACTCGTGTATGCAGGGGGCAGCACACAAAATGGGTGAATGGCTATGAAATACTGTACAAGAAAATAAGAGGGAAAGGAGTCTGGGAAGGAGAAACATCCTAAGGCATGAGAGGCAGGAGACTATACCTCCTGTCTATGACACTTAACCCACTTTGCCATTGTGGCGACAAGTTTCGAGGGAGGGGAAGGTGTGGGGCTGGAAAACAATCTCCAAAGGTGTCACTAGAATGAGTTTAAAGAGAGAAGGCTGGCTTCCATTATGTTGGTAGTTCTTTGTTTTTTTAATCCTCACCAGATGATGTGTATTTTTTCCATTGCTTTTCAGAGTGGGAGAGAAACATGGATGTGAGAGAGACACCTTGATTGGTTGCCTCCCACATGCACCCTAACTGGTGCCGGGAATAGAGCCTGCGACGTAGGTACCTGTCCTTGGCTGAAATTGAGCCGGGGACTCTTCGGTCCTTAGGCTGATGCTCTAACCACTGAGAAAACTGGCTAGGCCATATTATGTTGGTGGTTCTTAGGGTAAAGGGGTAACTGAGGGGCAGGAAGACTCAGAATGATCTGTGGGCCCAACCCTTTGGATGACCATTTGTGGGTAGAAATTGAAGGACTCTAGACAAAGTGCAAGAAAAGGCAAACCAAAATAAAGATTAAAAGTTAAAGGGAAAACAACTCTCAAAGATAAAAAACCAAGATGGGCAGTGGCAGTGGTGAAGGTAGAAAAATGTTTTCAGATTCTGATTTGGCCTCGGTGATAGAATGTGGGGCAGCCATAAGAAACAGCAAGGCTTCAGAAGGTAGCTAGCACCTTTCAAACTGGCACCATGGCCCTTCCCAGGGGGTGGGACCAATAAGAAGGTCTGAAGGATCATCCTGGCTGTGTCTCAAGTTGAAGTGTGGGGTTTGATATGCCTTCTTTTCATCCTGTTCGCTGCACCTCTCTTCACCTGCAACACAGGCTTGGTAGACAAAGTAGGGAGGATGAAGCAGGGAAGGAACACTCATCATCTAGCTACTGAGAGCATCGACAGATAATCTCGGCAGTATCAGGCTGGTATGCAGTGGTCCTGGTATTGGGTGACTTCCTGACCCACTCTTTACTCTCTTCCAGACATCCCTCTAGAGAGGGTACTGTGACTGGTATGACTTCACATTGGGGAGAAGAAAACAACAAACAGTTCCACATAATCAGAGATTTCCATTGTGAGACAACATCCGTTTCCATGAGTATAAGTGACTGGGATGTGTATGTGTTATAACTGCCTGGGGCTGAGAACCTACATTGCCCTCTCCTAGGCTTGGCTCAGCTGGACTGGGGAGATGGGCTAGGGCACACATATCCTCTTGTTACTTTCCAAACCCACTACTCTCTAAATCTGACTTTTCAGGGTAGTGCTCCAAGTCCTATGTGCCTCAGACAGCCTGATCTACTTAAAACTGTGCCTACCACTGTAGTCATCTGGGCCAGGGGAAGCCAACAGCTTATATATCCTGAGGCGGCAGGGACTGAAGGGACATGGAAGGGATAGGGAACTGAGATTGAGGGAAAAGCTACATTACATTTTTCTGAGGAAGGGGTGGGCTCTGACTGCAGGACTGGATTGGTGCTTTAGCAGGACAAAGACAGTAACCTGGTTCACAGACGTTAAAAAAATATAAACACACAAAATAAAGTATTAACATTTCTCCCCAACCTAATAACTCCAAAGAGAGGATGAGTGCTCTGAAGTTTCTGCTGTACCTACTCCCTGTGCAAAAGTGCCTGGCACCTTGCCCCTAGAGGCAGAAAAAAGCATAGTAGTCTAGTGGGCAAATTAGTCCCAGAATAAAAATAAACCTAAGAGCTGAAGCAGGAAAGGACTGATGGCAGCTGCTTGGAATCTGGGCTGAAGGCCCAAGTGGAAGAACCAGTGGTAGTAAGCAAGCTCTTTGTACAGCTCTTATCAGGATGTTAAGAGACGCAGATGAAAAAGGAAACCAGAAGAAGGGTTAGCAGGGGAGGGGTAGAGTGGGATTAGTGGGGAGGATGGGTTTCTTTAGGGCAGGACTGAGTACAGGAACTGAGTGAGGAAGCCCAGTTTGGCAAGAAAACTAAAAAATAATGGGGGCAGGGGATGCAGGTGTGGAGCCTCTTCAGCAAGAGCAGTTCAAAGTCTCTGTTCCTGTCCCAGACCGGGCACCTGGCCCAGGGCAGGGCTAGGTATGTGGTAGGGGCACTTGGAGAGGGTGCTATCCTCCCTACTCTGCCCCTAACCCAGAGTAGTGTGGGAAACAGCAGTCTTCTCTTCCACCACTGGTTACCAGTGTCTCGAGTCCACCAGCTCAGGTCGGAGGCTGAGTTTCTTGAGGCTCTCATAGCCCACCACAATGACAATGGTAGAGGGCGTGGCTGAGATGATTCTGGCTGAGAGGCCCTTCATGAGGCCCCAAGGCCCCTCCTCTGCCATCAGCTGTCTGAAGGTCAGGATAATGGAGTTCTTGCCCTCAACCTGTCAAAGTCAACACAGTGAAGGGTCATGGTCTGCAGTCAAAACTTCTCTGCTCATTCTCTGCCTTAGGCAAAAGTGAATTTGAATTCTGCCCTGCAATGTACTAATAGCATAACCTCAGTAATTTACTTAACTCTTTGCATTTCAGTTACCTTGAATATAAAACAGTGAGAGGAGTTCCTATGCCATGTGGTTGTTCTGAGTGGTAAACAAAAGAATACTTGTAAATGTTGAGAACATGGCCTAGTAGACAGTAAGTAAGCATTAGTCATTCATATCATTAGATAAGCTACACAGCTATGAGTCTTTGGATTGGGTGCTTCTCTCCAGTCTCAGGGAGTCCGGATTAAATCACCTCTAAGGTCCTCTGCAGCTCCGCCAGTCTGATTTTGACTGTGGTCATCTCAGGCCCTCCCCTCTGACTCTGTTATCTCCCAGGCCTATCTTCCCTATCACATTGGAAGCCTGGCTAAGGCAGGAATCTCTTTCTTTCTCGACAGTTCTGCCCCCTCCCCCCACACTCATACCCTGGCACCAAACTACACCTTTAGAGACCTCCCACTCATACCCTCAGTCACGGCAGGACAGATGCACTCCCTGTTATATCTCCTCCTGTCCTGTATGACTTCACAAGGTGATCCCATCTATGGCTAAAAACATCTCCCCACTCGACCTGCCTCCTTTAGCACCCTCCTCCGCACTCCCTTCGTCCTTAGTCCTCTCATCTGACCACCTCTGCTCCCCTAACCCTCGCACTTGCCACAGCCATGTCAAGGGCTTTTTAGCTATACCTCTGGGCCTCATATGCACTTTATCTCCTCTGGCTTGGAAGCACCTCAAAGTAGAGACCTATCCTTTCCCTGGATCTCCTTGTGGAACAAGGCTCAGGAGAGAATGAAGGTGAATCCTATGTAATTTATTATTTACAAACCTATTAGATGCCAATTAACTCATTTTCATATGTGTGTGGTAAGCAGAGGACATTCTTTCTTGAGACAAAAATACCTAGATGTTCCCAGACAAGAAAAAGTTAAAGGAGTTCATCACAAAGGCTGTAACAAGAGACAAAGAAGGGCCCAGCAATGCCACTTCTGGGTATTTATTGGAAGAAACCCAAACACTAATTTGAAAAGACATATGCATCCCTATGTTAACTGCAGCATTATTTACAATAGCCAAGATATGGAAGCAACCTAAGTGTCCACCGACAGAGGAATGGATAAAGATTTGGTACATATATACAATGGAATGTTACTCAACTATAAAAAAGATTGGAATCTTGCCACTTGCAACAACATGGATGGACCAAGAGGGAATTAAGCTAAATGAAATAAGTCAGACAGAGAAAGACAAATGCCATATGATTTCACTTATATGTGGAATCTAAAACACAAAATAAATGAACAAAACAGAAACAGACTCATAGATACAGAGAACATTTTGATGGTTGCCAGATGAGAGGGGATTTGGGGGGGGCAGGTGGTAAAAAGGGGGAAAGGATTAAGATGTGCAAATTGCCAGTTAGAAAAACAGTGCCAGGATGTAAAGTACAGCAAGGGAATATAGTTATAACTATGAATGGTGTCAAATGGGTACTAGACTTATTGGGGTAATCATTTTGTAATTTATATAAATGTCTAATCATTATGCTATACACCTGAAACTAATACAATATTGTATGTCAAGTGTAATTGAATAAAAAATTATTTAAAAAAAAATCTAGATTTACCAGCCACCTCCATCCTAACATCCTGGTATCAGGGAAGCTGACTGCACCCCCAACCTAGTAAGGTTATTTTTCTTTCCTCCCCTCCTCAGCTTTCCTCTTAAGCTAACCAAATCAGACATTAACCGCCCCCCCTCCCCCAATCTCTTGACTTAAAGTTTTATAAAGCAAAATCAGCCATATATATATTATATCTCATCATCCAAATTCTATTTCCTTGGACTAGGTAGTATGAAATTGTTTTTGAGCTGACTGAAGACAGGAACTATAACTTCTGGACAGTACCACCTAGGGCTTTGTCAGTGTTTTTGCTGAGTCCACACAGTACAATCTGTAAAACCTATTCAAGAACAGTCACTCTCTTGCCCTGGCCGGTGTGGCTCAGTTAGTTGGGCGTCATCCTGTGCACTGAAAGGCTGCCCATTCTCAGTCAGGGCACATGCCCATACTGCAGGCTTGATTCTTGGTAGGGGGCATGCAAGAGGCAGCCAATTGATGTTTCGCTCTCACATCGATGTTTCTCTAAAAATCAATTAAAAAAATCTTAAAACAAAAAAAGAACAGTCACTCTCACTGTGGCTGGTGTGGATCAGCTGATTGGAGTGTCGTCCTGTACACAAAAAAGTTGTGGGTTCGATTCCTAGTCAGGGCACACGCCCAAGTTGTAGGTTTGATCCGTGGTCAGGGCATATATGGGAGGCAACTGCTAGATGTTTCTCTCTTACATCGATGTTTCTCTCTCTCAAATCAATAAAAACATACCCTCAAGTGAGGGTAAAAGGAAAAAAACAATCTCACTGCCTGTAGAGAGCTCACAGAAACCAGACAGACTTATGAAATTAACTGAAATCGATATTTCTAATGCTACTAAGGAAAATGTGGTTGATAGTCTGTGCTAATAGGATAAAAGGCTGTAAGAAACGAGTAAGAAGGACTAGAGGCATGGGCAAGTAAAGGAATAGAGGCAGACAGGATGAGAAAAACATTCTAGGTGTTTCAAAGTGCTCAGCTGGTTTCTGTACATGGTAAGTCATAACCACAAGGAAGAGGCTTGGATGAGCAGGAGAAGGCTGGCTGGACTAGAGAGCCATGACAAAAAGAGGTCAGGGGAATGCTGGAGGGCCTAAAGATCATTCTTCTAATGGCTTGTGTAAGAGGAGGGTGGGCGTGAGGCTGGTCTTACCTGCACTCGGGTTCGGATGACATCCATGGGATTGGTGAGGATGGAAGCAGTAGCAGCAGCCAGGGGCCCTGAGATGGCTTGAAAGACAATGTGAGGGCACTCCTTAGGACAGAGGTGTGAGAGCTGCTCTGGAAGGGAGGGAAAGACAATGCTTTAAGATATGAGGTACCACCGTCTGCCCTCACACTGCTGCTACCAGTTGGCCCAATGATGACAAACCCTCCATTCTTAGCCACCTTAAGCCCCCCATCCCCATAACTCCCATCTTTTTTCTCTTTGCTTCCTTTTGAAACGCCCTGACCGGGAATCAAACTCATGACTTTCTGGTGCATGGGCTGATGCTTCAACCAACTGAGCCACACCAGCCAGGGCCCTACCTTTTGAATTTTGAACCATGTGAATGTTTTTACAAATAACAAATTACAATTAAAAGAGAAAGTCATATCCTACATTGAGAACTTTTTTCCAGCCTCTATTAAGAAACAAAAATTCATTTTTCAAAATGCTGATGAAGAACACTGAAAATAGCCCGGGTTGGTGTGGCTCAGTAGAGTGTCAGTCTGTGCACTGAAAGGTTGCAGGTTCGATTCCCAGTCAAGGGCATGTTCCTGGGTTGCAGGTTAGATCCCCGGCTCCGGTTGGGCGCGTTAGTGAGGCAACCAATCAATGTGTCTCTCTCACATCGATGTTTCTGTCTCTCTCCCTCTCTGTCTCTCCCCCCCCCATTCCTCCCTTCCACTCTCTAAAAATCAATGGGAAACTATCCTTGGGTGAGGATTAACAACAACAACAAAAGACAAAGAAGATTGATAATACCCAGATTCACCCATTCCAGTATCACTGGAAAGTTCACCTGCAACTGAATTTTCTGCTTTACCCTCCGTTTTTATTCAACAAAGATGTATTGAGTGGCTACCATGAGCCAGTCACTGTGGGTTCTGAGGATGTAACAGTGAATAAAAGAGCCTCAAAAGCCCTGCTCCTGTGAAATTTACATTCTAATGGGGTAGACAATAAACAAATAAAAAGCAATATATAGCTATGTCAGAAGATGTATGCTAGCTGCAGATAAAACAGGAAAGGGAGACAGGAAATGCCAAGAGTGGGGGTGAGTGCATTGCCATTTTAAACAAGGTAGTCATGAAAGCCCTCTCTAAGGTGAAGTTTGAGCGAAGTCCTAAAGAAGAGTGCAAGCCATGTGGCTCCGTGGAAAGAACTTTCCAAGCAAGTAACATCCTATGTAAAGGCCCTGAGGCAGGAGCACACCTTAAGTCTTCAAAGGGGAGCAAGGCCAGTAGGCCTGGAGTAGAATGAGGGAAAGAACAGTAGAAGGTCCAAGGGGTAAGTTGTTTAGGCCCTTGAAGCTATTGCAAGAACTCTGGCTTTTACTCTAAGCGAGACTGGACGTAAAATAGATTCATCATCTCAAAGATTCCCTCTCAATTTTCTCTCTACAATTTAGTCACCATAATACCTTTAAGATTTTTTTTTCATGCTCTTAGTATGGGTAATTTATGGCCAGGCAACTAAATATTAGGGGACAAGTAGGATAGTAGGGGTTGGCAGGGCAGAAGTGAGAGCTTCTAAGTCCCGGTAGCATGGCAGAATTCCTTAAGCCCTACCAGAACCACCTCTCCCTGGTTTCTAATCGCTTTCTTCCCCAGGGTCAGCATACAAACAGAAACTAAGTGAACTGGTGGCTCCACCTCATGACTGTCCTGTTTCTCTTGACAAGAAAGCATTTCATAACCATTTGAAGGTAATATCTGGGCTGGCACTGCCAACTTCCTTGGGCCTGTCTGCACTAGTCCCTAGGCCTGTAAGCTGCAGTGGGATCCAGATGCGATTCTAGTCTTGCATATATGCCATTTTCCTGAGGCTTAGGGAGAAGATGGAAAAACAAAGGCAAGAAGGTGGGGGAAAGAGCCTCATGTCTTTCCGTCTCCATTCATTCAACAAGTGTTTATTGGGCATCTATTATCTGACTTGGTTTAAGTCTCCCCTGGCTAAATGACTTTGGACAAGTAATATAAATCATTATTTGTTTAATGCTTACTAGATGCCAGGCACTGAGATAAGCACTAGACATAAAACAGAGAAATGGACAGGGAAATGCCTTCATGGAACTTACAGTCTAATTAAGTAGCTGGGAGTTAGAGATAAAATAACTGCAAATTATAACAAGTGCTCTGAAGGAAACATGGTGCTGAAAAAGAAAACAAAGAGCCCTCTTTCCAACTGGGTAGTTAAAGAAGTCCACTTGCAAAAGTGGCATGGAAGTTAAGGCTTGAAGCATGAGAAGGACCCAGCCATACAGAGAACGGGGGAAAGGGTGTTCCAGGCAGAAAGAACATTATTTGCAAGAGCTCTGAGGTGAGAACAGAGCTTGGTGTCTCAGGAACTGAGAGGCAATGAGGATGGACCAGAGTGTGGAAAGGAGATTAGCACAAGATGGGGCTGAAGAAGCAGACAGAAGCCAGATCATGTAGACCAGTGGGAAGCATTAGATTTTATTCTAAATGCCCACAAGTCAGCACTGTTAGATTTTAAGCAAAAGTGAATAACAAGAACCAATCTACTCAATCAACAAATACTTACTGAGCACTTTGATATACCAGATCCTGAGAGAGTGGGTCACAGAGCCTGGCACATAGTGGATATTCAACAAATGTTAGTTTCCTCCCCCTTCCAAGAAACTTTCCAGTCAATTATATCTCAATATAGCTGGAAAATATGCATCAGAAAATTAAAGAACCTTTCCACATTGTAGAAGAGATAAGGCACACACAAATAACATCAAGGCAAATGTTATAACTGCCTTAAGAAAGATTCAAGCAATATAATGGAGGTTGAAAGGAGGGAAAGATCACTTCTGGGTTAAGGGCTACATGGAGAGAATGGATTAGGAAGCATAAGGAGCACTTAAGTCATGATTTCATCAGGGTAAGTGTCCCTGGAATGCATTTAGGCAGAAGAATGATACAAACAAAGCAAAGGCAGGAGAGATGACACATGGTTGATGAACTGTACATTAGCTGGCCTGGTTGCAGCATAGACTATACACAGGGGAGCAGCAAGAAGTTTCATTATAAAGGGAGGTTAAAGCCATGTTGAAGAGTTTGGATTTTACTCAGCAAGCAGTGGATCCACTGAACATCACAGACTGGGTTTAAAAAATTAATCCATTAGGGAGGTGAGTGATGCGTAGGAAAGAAGAGGCTTGGATAGAACAGGCTGAAGCTGCTGTCCTGGAGGGTGGTAACAGTGGCATGGTTTCCAGGAAAGGCAGTAGGAGTGGAGAAAAAGTTGGGAAAGACTTTCTGGGGTCATAAGGACTACATGTGGGGACAAGGAAGAGGGCATGGCCAAGCACAATCCACAAGGCTTCAGTCTCAGTGATTTGGAGAATAACCTGACCACTGACACATAAAAATAAGTCAGGAGGGAAAGCCAGCTTGGGATGAAGAATAGTTCACAGAATAAAATTTCAGATGTAAATACATGCATCCAAGTTGAGAGGTCAGACAGGACTTTTGTCCAGAGCTCTGGACAAGTTAGTCTGGGAATGGAAAGAGATTTTTGGACATATTAGAAAAGTACAACTCAATTGTAAATGAAATCAAATGAAGATAGAAGGGCAAAGATAGACTCTAGAGAAAATGCTCATGTTTCCTAGGAAGGTTTTTTAACATTAAGATTGCCAGGATCCATTCCCAAAGAATCTGATACAAAGGATCAGGGGTAGAGTCCAGGTATGTGAATTTTACCAAATATTTTAGATGAAATACTGTGTTAAACAGAAGAAAGAAAGAAAAAGAGGTATAGAAGAAGGGGGGGAGGGGGAGGAGGAGGAGGGAGAGGTACAATCAGAAAAACAGAACTAGGAAAGTACAGTGCCATAGAAACAAAATATTATAGGTTAGGATGTCCTTATAAAATCTGGTTAGAAAAGTTCCAAATGGGAAGAGAAAGAATGCCTACTGCCAAGGGTTAGGAGCCAGGATTAGGGAGGCTGCAAGCATAGACTGCCTTAACTGGATTTTGGTAATTACCCAAAACTGGATGTCGCAGGGAAGGGGGCACACTCAGGCCCTGTTCTTGGCAATGTGTTCTGCCCTTTCAGAAGGAAAAATCTGGCAATATGTTTATTGAGGCCCTTGAAAATCTTACCTTTTGACACAGCAATCCCATTTCTGGGAAATACTTAAAAAGTAAAATGTGTTATGAACAAAAAATACATTATAGGAGTAGAGAGGTTCACGATTATATCACATCTTGAATTTAACAATGCTGAGGAAAGGCATCCAACTCAAAACCTCACTATTATTTATTAATTTTATCTCCAAATCCCAAATACCCCTAAACTCTGTCCCTTTCCATCTTCTAATTCTCTGCCAATATTCTACTAACCCTAGCCGATGCCCATGCACCCAGAGCACACACTATGTTCTAAAATCATCTACTGTACTTGTCTGATTCCCCTCACTCTGATATAAGCTCCTTGAAGGCAAGAACTACATATTATTCATTTTTGAGTCCTCCTGAATCAAATGTTTGCTGACTGAATGGCCCATTCTCCCATTAAATCTCTCACTGTCACATGTACAAAACAATGGAAGCTTAGCCGCATTAGTAAACCCACCTCCACCCCACTCTCCTGGGTCCCTGCTTACCTGCATAGAAGTGATAGAAGGGCCACCAGACAGCACTGTTTGGGATGTAGGTAAGCAGTGAAGCCACATAGCCTCGGTAGAAGCCTCGAACCCCATCAACCTGCAGGATCTGCCTGATGATGTCCTTGGTTTGGCCAAAGGCAATTACCCCTTGTCCCTCTGGGTTCCCTCGCACTTGGAAGCGGCCCGTTTTCTCACCCTTACGCTGCATCATCAGGTGCTGGGAGACCACATCAATGGGCACTGTGATGCTCTGGGCCACGAGAGAGGCCGAGCCACCAGCCACCAGCGATTTGACTGTGTTGCTCTGGCTGTAGTCAGATACGAACTTCCGGGTGAGCTCGTACGTGGTGACATAGCACTGGCCTGAGATGAGGGTGAAGGTGTTGACCAGGAACCCCCGGTATAGGCCAGTCACACCATCTGCTCGCAGGATCTTGATGAAGGCATCAAAGGTCCCATGGTAGAGGCTCTTGCCCTTCTGAACCTGCAGCCGAGTGCGGATGAGGGTGAATGGGTAGACGCTGACACGGATCATCATTGTCATTGCCACACCAAGCACATAGAACTTCTTCTTGTCCAGGTGTTCCCACTCGATGATCTGGATGTTGCGTTTGTCTTCCATTGTGCCCAAAGTCCTGGGGATTTGAGCAGGGTGGAGCGATGTAAGGAAGGAGCTCAGAACTTTGCACTTTCCCCTCCTGGCTAGGCTCTGAAATCCCCCTCAGGCTCTATCTCCCAGGTACTTCACGCAGTCTGGCTCTGGGCATTCCTTCACAGATTAGGAGACTTCCCCTTCTCTCTCCTTTATCAGTCCTTCCCAATTCCAGAAACCATTCCTTACTTCAGTGACCTGCCCTGGCTTCAGTCCCACCTCAGCTCCCTACCCCAAGCCTATCATCTGTTCTGGTCTCTCTGCCTCTGCCTGGGCCCTGGCATTATGGCCCATTCTCCTCATTCTCTGGCTCACCCACACAGAGCTCAGGATGCTAAGAACAAACCAACCACCTAGCAGGATGCAAGGCCTTTCAGTGGGCTAATGGGACATCACTAAGTGACATTTAGGAGGTTCCTAAAGGCTGGAGGGAAGTGCTTCATTTTTGATGCTCTAGGTCCACTGAAGAGGCACAGCCTTTGATCTGCATCCTCAGCAGGGTGCCTCTTTTATAACCATTTACCAGCTGACTCACCTGACTTTATTTCTGGCTTCTGTGCGGGGCCCCTCTGAGCTCCCCTGACCCACACTCTCTACACTTATATTATTTGCTCCAGTCTGCATTAGAAGAAAGCATGGGGAAGAAGCTAAATGGGGCTTTCACAGCACAGGCACCCTCACACACACACCTCGCCTCCCTCCAATGAGAGTAGAACATTAGGAACAGGGCAAAGGTCAGAGTCCTCTCTGGTTATTAGATAACTCACTCTGGAGAAAGAAAAGAACCACTCGAAGAGTCTTGAGAACTACAGGGTAAAAATCATGTTTGGCCCCTTGTATCCCTAAGCATATAAATCATAACTTTAGTCCCAGATAATGAAGGGAGATTCAAGTAACAAAGATACAGACTCTGCCTTCCAGAAACTCACAGTCTGTTCAGAGACACAGTATCTCTCTGGGGAATGGATGTCAGATAAAGAGATAAAGAATACAGGGCAGCCCTGGCTGAGGAGCTCAGTTGGTTAGCATTGTCCCAATATGCCAAGGTTGTGGGTTCAATCCCCAGTCAGGGCACATACGAGAATCAACTAATGCATAGATAAGTGGAACAGCAAAGTAATGTTTCTCTCTCTCTCAAAATCAATAAGTAGTTATATAGGACAAATTAATGTACACATGACCCTCATGTTAAGTGTATCCACTACCTAAAGTTTCAAACATAACTAAAAATGTAATAATTGCATAAAATCAGGAACTTCCAACTGAAGAACTGTCAAATGAGAGGATGTCATATAATAGACATATTCTTAGTAAAGTGTAATGTGCTCCTGTGTAGGACACTGGACATTTTCAGCCAGAAGGGGAGAGTGGGAAGTTCAATTCCAGAAGTGAGAGGTGAGGGGCTCCCCAGGCTCTGAGAGAAATCTCTAAGGGCTGGGAAAGGAGGTGGCCACATCAAAGGGACAAATCTAGAGGGTTGAAATGTTCTACAGAAGCAGTCCCAGTGCTAATGCCTTGGCAAGCCTCATGTCAAATGTTTAACCAGAGTCCACCTTCAACCACTTTCCTCAACCAAAGGTCCTAACTAGCCTACGTAGTTTCTTGGTGTACCATGGAATTCAGTGGGGAAGCAAGGCTAGCTTTTCAGTATTCCCTGAGCTGGACTGTATCACTTTCATTAAAGCACAGGGTTCCTGCAGTGCACACTGAGTGCATGAGAGCTGAGGGACAACCTCCCTTCAAGGTGAGGCATAGGTGAGGTACATGTAACCAAGACGGGCTTCCTGGAGGAGGACAAGGCAGTTTGAATGAAGAAGGAATACAGGTAGACAGTGAAAGGGAAAGAACAATAGCTTGGAACAACTAGGTTGGCCAGAGAATCTAGGCTGTGGAAAGTAAGGTAGAGGCGGGTTCTAGGAGAAGAACCCCTGAAAAACTGATGTGCCATTTGCTGTGGGCAAAAGTGGCCCTCCTTCCCCACCAAGTCCAGAAGGGTAATCTTCTCTTTTGAGGCCATTCAAGAGGAAAAGGTGGTCACTGTCTCCCTGACCCAGGTGTTTGTCATTCAGGGTACCAAGGTCATGTTTCCATTACCACCAAGAGTTGAAGAGAGACACTAGGATTTACTGAATACCTATTACCCCATGCAACCCTTACAACCTAACCTGTGCACGATGGATACTTCTGCTAAATAAGGGAACAGAGGGTCAGATATATTAAAAGGAACAGGCCCAAGGTCACATAGCGGGTGAGTGGTGGAGGCATAATATGAGCCAAGATTTCTTCTTATTCCACCACGCCTTCTACCCCTGGGAGTTGAAGAGTTCCAACACAAATCACTGTTTCGTCTAAAGCCAAGTCAGTCCCACTGTGGGAAGCAGAATGAATGCCCTCATGACTGCCGATCACCCAAGGGTTAAGCACAAGCTCCTGGCCCTGCAGATGCCCAAGGATTTCTCTCAGCTTTGTTCTAGAGAAACCAAGAGCTGCCTCTGCTTTCTCAGTGTGCTTGTGGAGTGACTGGGCTGAGTGGCTGGGCAGTCCCATTGTTGTCACAGGAAAAATACAGCAGGGCTCAAGCAGGAGGGACTCCTACAGGGATCATGCAAATAATGTACTAAGCAGGGCAGAGAGGCAGAGCAACACAGGATTCTGTTCCAGGACCCGGTTTTGTGGGCACCATCTCAATTTGTCAAGCTGAATCACAAACTACCAACATCTCCAGATGAGAAATCCTAAGGCAGGACCCAGTGCCTCCTTTCCTCCATCTCTGACATGTGCCAGTCTATTTTAAATTCCCAGAAGGAAAGAGGGACTCCCCAAGGCTGAAGCAGGTAACTTCTACTATTGCCATGGTGACTGAAGAAGCCACTAAGAGTCATGCCTCAGAGAGATAGGCCTCTACAGTTGAGAGTCATTACATCTACCCTGTTCCCTTCAAAAAGTGGGACTGCTCCTAAAAGGTGGGATCTCAACCTGCTCTTTATTATGTAACTTCCAAATTTCCTGCTGAAATAACAAAACCAGTACCTCTTGTTTTACCCTCTGGAAAATCCTCCTTGCAGATACCTGTATGCAGACTTCCTTTTTAGTCTTCCCTTCTCCCAATTCAATCAGCCCAACTTCATTATGGCTCTTCCTAGACCCTTCTTTGTGTACATGACTCCAATTCTGAATTTCCCCCATCTTTTCACACTGCTTGGAAACAAAGGTTGAAGTGCTTCCTATGGAGACTAAACAAATGACCCAAGATGTTCTGAAATAAATCATCAAATGAGATGTCAGAGGCAGAACCCTCAGTACCAAGCCTACCAGTGGAACGGAACAAACTGGTGGGCTCAGTACACGTCCTCTCCACTTCCACTTTCCTTTTTAGAAATATCACATTAGACTATTCACTAGATTCTGAGATGAGATTCTGCTTCAGGATAAGACAGTGTCACCTGGAAGGCAAGGTCATGCTGTAGAAAGAACACTAGTAGTCAGGAGGTCCAAGTTTGAGCTCCACTTCCATTACTTCCTAGTAGGACTGGAACCAAGTCACTTCACTAAAATTCAGTTTCCTCATCAGTGAAATGAGGATAATAAAGCCTGCTATACCTATGCAGTCATGCACCACTTAACGACAGGAATACATTCTGAGAAATGTGTTATTAGGCGATTTCGTTGTTCGAACACCATAAAGTTCACTTACACAAATCTAGATTGTATAGCCTACTATGTACTCAGGCTGTATGGTATAGCCTATGGCTCCTAGGTTACAAACATTTACATTATTACTGTAATGAATACTGTAGGCAACTGTAACACAATGGTAAGTATTTGTGTATCTAGACATTGAAAATGTACAGTCTAAATATGGTATAAGAGATAAAAAATGGTTCGCCTGTATAGGGCACTTACCATGAATGGAGCTTGCAGGACTGGAAGTTGCTCTGGGTGAGTCAGTGAGTGGGGTGAATGTGAAGGCCTAGGACATTACTACTGTGGACTTTATAAACACTGTACACTTAGGCTACACTAAATTTATAAAACAACACTAGATTAAATCAAGCACAAGAGAAAATGATGCAATCAAGAGATTTGGTAAACATAAGATGGGAAAGGCTGTTAGTGTGACACGGCACACTGCTTACAGCAAACTTTATTAATCTTCACCCGAGGATATGATTTTTTATTGATTTTTAGAGAAAGGGAGAGAAAGAAAACAATGTGAGAGAAACATGAATCCGCTGCCTCTCGTATGCGCCCTGATCAGGAATTGAACCCACCACCTCTTGGTGTACAGGACAACACTCCATCCAACTGAGTCACCTGGCCAGGATGCAAACTTTTTTATAAGTAGAAAGAGTATACTGTGAAATAATGATTAAAAGTATAATATAACAAGCCCTGAACCTTGTGGCTCAGTGGTTAGAGCGTGGGCCCAAGCATGGAAGGGTCGCAGGTTTGATCCCAGCTGGGTTGGGGCGTGTGGGGGAGGCAACCAATCAATGTGTCTCTCTCACATGAATGTTTTTTTCTCTCTCTCTCTCCCCCCGCTCTTGCACTCGCTCTAAAAATCAATGGAAAAAATATCCTCTGGTGAGGATTAACAATAAAGTGTAACATAGCAAATACATAAACCAGTAACAATTGTTCATTAGCAACGATTATGGATTGTATGTATGTGCTATATTTTTATACAACTGGCAGTGCAGGTTTGTTTACACCAGCATCACCTCAAACGTGAGTAATGTGCTACATTACGACTACAGCTTCGCTAGGCAATAAAAAATTTCAGCTCCATTATAATCTTATGGGACCACTGTCCCACTGTCACATATGTGGTCTGTTAATACGTGAGAAAGCATTGTGTTAACAGCAAAGCATTTCTACCATTGCAGAAAGCTCTATTGGACAGTGTTGCTCTAAATCCTTGCTGTTCAAAGTGGTACACAGATCAGCAGCAGGGACATCACCTGGGAGCTTGTGAGAAATACAGAATTTCAGAATGCACCCTAGATCTGCTGAATAACAGCCAACATTTTAAGAAGATCTGGAGTGATTAACATATGTTAGAATTTGAGAGACATTACTTTAAATATTAAGGATTACCAGCATTATAAAATGATAACAATGCTCTAAAAGTCCAGGACCACTATGACTAGGTTAGAAGCCCTGACTACATCCTGACTTGTCACCAGAACTTGGCCCAATAATGTCTCCTAGACTTATTCAGATCCTTTCAGTCAACCACCCCCATCAAATTAAATCACCTCCTATAACTCCTGATAAGACACCCATGGGGTTGGATCCTCACTTCTCAACTGGAAACAAGATTTTTGCTTCCTCCTTCTGTTCCTGTTCTCCCTACTGCGTCTACATCGGCGCTCTGCATGTGGGAGCTACCCACATGAACGTGAATGTATTTACATGCTTGACCACCTGTCTTCTTAATGAATATGCATTTCCTTAGAGGACATCCCTGGTGATACCTCGACGCCTCCCTTCAGAAAATCTCCCTTGGATTAGGTGCGATTCCCACCAAGCCTTCTTTTGGTCTTCAAGAGGTGGTCTCGTGATCCCTTACCACAGACACCACATGACAACCCTCCACCTGCTCTACAGGACACCCGCTTTATACGCTTTCGTCCTGGCGGCCGCACAGCCGCCTCTGGGTGCTCCGCCATGCCGCTCGCCGTGCCTCTCGTCCCGCCTCCATGGCTGTCAGCGAGCCTCCTGCTCCTCGGACGGGAGAAAATGCCTCGTCCTTCATCCCCCAAACCGCGTGGCGGGCTCCCACGGAACTGCAGCGGGCACTGCAGACACGCTTTGCCTCCTTGACAGGTCTTTGGACCCTCCAAACCCGTGCTTTCTTACCTGCTCAGATCAGAGCGGCCCCGCCGCGTCTGAGGCGACCTCCAAGCCCGGCCCGCTAGGCCGCAGCGGCCACTGTGCCCGCGGTTCTCGGCGACGGCCAGCTTCGGCGAACATCTTCCTCCATCTCGACCCGGCTCCGGGTACTACCGGAACCGGAACACGGGACGCTGTCATTCCCGCCCCCTGGGGGCGGGGGTGAGCGGTGGGCAAGTCCACCAATGGTGTTCTGAGTCCGGGGCGAGGGGGGTCGGTCCTGGCGACCTTCTTGAATTCGGGCAGAAGCCACGCCTCTCCGGCTTCTCGCGCCCTCAGCTCCACGGCGCCTGCGTGCCCTTTCCAGCTCGCGAAGATCGAGTCACCCGGCGCTCCCTGCAGATCCAGGGCTAAATGTGTCACCTAGTGTTGGGGATCTATTAGAATCCTTAAATTAAAATCTAATCTGTAATTTTTGTGTAGCTTTTCTCATCTATGGAGCCAAAACAGTAGAGACCAAACTGTCTCTCTCCAGCTCTTCCACTCTCTGAAAAGCAATGGAAAAAATATCCTTGGGTGAAGATTAAAAAAAAAAAAAGAAAAAGAGCCCCCTGAGCATCAGCCTATGATCCAGGAGATCGAGGTTCAATTCCCCGTCAGGGCACATGCGGGGGTTGCAGGCTCATCCCCAGTAGGAGGTGTGCTGCAGGCAGCCAATCAATGACTCATCATTGATGTTTCTCTCTCTTTCTCCCCCTCCCCCTTTCTCTCTCGGAAATCAATAAAGACACATTTTTTTAAAAAAGAAAAGAAAAAGAAAGCTTCCTGCATTCCTTCCTTCCAAGAAGTGAAGAAATTGAGGTACAGACTGGAAAGGCTGGCTGAGTCTATTAAGAGCAGATGGAGGCCCCAGGAGCCCAATATCAGCCCAGTGACCTTTTCATCACCCCACACTGTCCCACTGCCCTTGGCCTCCCTCCAGGTCATCAGGGAGCCACGGGAGAAGTCTGGAAAGGGTGCTTAGAAAGTGAAAGGCCTCAGAGTAAAAGTGTGTTGGGTAATGGAAGGGTGCAAAGGTGCTCGCGGGGAAGAAGAAAGAACTAGAGAAGCCGAATAACTCCAATAAGGGAGCCACAGCAAACGGTCTGGAAGAGAGATTGGCACACCCATCTTCACTAAGGCATATTCACAACAGCAAAGACATGAAACAGCCCACATGTCCGTCAGCAGTCGAATGGATTAAAAAAGACGCAGTATATACATACAATGGACTATTATTCAGCCTCCAAAAGAGAATGAAATCCTGTCACATGCTACAATGTGCATAAAACTTGAGGATATTATGGTGAGTGAAATAAGCCAGACCCAAGACAAATACTGTATGATCCCACTTATGTGAAGTGCCTAAAGTGGTCAGATTCATAGAGTAGAATGTTAGTTGTCAGAGGCCTGGAGGAAGGGTAATGGGGAGTTGTTCAATGGATATAGACTTTCAGTTCTGTAAGATGAAAAGTTCTAGAGACCGATTATGCAACAATGTGAATATAGTTAACACTACTGAACTGTACATTTAAAAATTGTTGAGAATACATTTTATAGTATGTGCTTTTTATCACAATTAGAAAATTAAAACAAACAACAAAGAACACACCAAAAAAGAAGAAACCATAGAAGAAAGTTGTGAGAACATTAGGGTGGCCAAGGTGTGAAGACTACATAAAGTCAAGGTCAGTTGCTAATGGGTAATTGTGGCGAGTCATTGGGGGGGGGGGGACAGACCAAAAGGGATTAAAGAGAGGGTGACATTGGGGGTGGAGTCGTGGAGGCAGCCAGCATGGACCCTCTTTGGTGTTTGGTGGTAACAGGAAAGAGAGAGCCAGTAGCGGTGGAGGGCATAGATTCAAAGGTTGGAGTTGGGGATGGTTATTGTTTCGTTTTTTCCTATGGTGTGTGGGAGAGGGGAGATTAAGCTGAAGGAGAGGTAAAGTGAGGAGGCCATGCTGCGGGTCTCTTCAGAGAGAAGGGGGCACAGGCCTTGGTTAGCCTTAGTTGGAAGAGGGACATGTGCCTTTGTGAAAGGAGGGTGAGGGGGAAGGTGGTGTGGGGTGTGGAGATAGCAGTTTGTCAGATATTGAGAAGGATGTAGCCAAGATGGGGGAGGCTGTGTGGTGTTTCTATAAGTTTAATCCACTAAGAACTGAAACCAACTGCTGCAGTGGGAAAGAGGGGCTGAGTTGGAGTCACAAGAAATGTGGGAGAGTGAGGGGCAGCAACGGCAGGGCTGCAGCAGTGACACTTGCCAAATCATTACCCAGTGATGGAGCAGGTGTTGCCCAGCCAGCAGACACAAGCTGAAGCTGGTCAACAGAGTGTTGGCCTGAAAGGCAAAGTTTGAGATACTCTAGCAATGGCAGGAGTGAAGGAAAGGGCTGTGGGGCTGGTTCTGGGGGGAGCTAGCAGGGCAGAAGAGTTCTAGGGAGCCATCACCCCACAAACCTGGCCCTCTCCCACTGGTGCCCTCAGTTCCTGCTCCCTTTACATCTTGCAGTCCTCTGTTGGAGAGCTCTGCTCTGACAAAAACACCACGAGCCATAAGCTTTGTCTTTTTAATAAAAAATAAACTGTGACAAGCAGTTTTTTTGGATCCCAAAGCAAAGGAAAGGGAAAGGACAGAGGTCAAAGGATCAGCCAGGGTAAAGGCATGAACCAGGCTCAGATTACCCCTGCCATTCTAGCCGGGCTAGAAGAGATCACAAACTCTCCCAACTGAAGCAAGAAGGTAGTTGCCTTCAAGACTCCCTGGGAGTCAGTGCACAGTTGATAAAGGGGAGTAGGAGGGGGTAGCTCCATGCAGAACCCTAAAGATCCCTGGGAGAGGGGAGTACTGGTGTCCAAGGTGACAGCTGCTATTAGAGTGGAGTCCCCAGGAGTGACGTGCCATCTTGTGGTTGTTTAGATGTTTGGTGTTATTACCAAAGGGTCCTGAAACAGTCAGGATGTTTTAGAGTCTCCTGGAGCAGTATGCTTCTGGAGGGTCCTTTCTGGGTCTTCCATCACAGCCTCGGACCGGGTCTGGGGTAGCCCATGTGCTTAGTAGAAGGGAATCCCACAGGGGAGCCAGCCACTGTGCCCAGGCCCTCTGAGTGCTGCTGGTGCCACAGAGTGTCAGAGAAGCTACTCTTGTGGGAGGAAGGTGATCTTTTGTGCTACTCCCACCCTAGTCTGCACTGCTCCAGGCTCCCAGGTCAGCATAGCCCAGTGCCATGCTCTGCCACAGCCTCAGTCTGTGCCCAGAGTTTAAGCCACCTCGGTGCCCAGGTGGTTGCTGTCAGCGTCCACATCACTGGCAGAGGTCCTGCATTCCTTGGGAAGTTGGAGGTGCTGCTCTCTGCTCAATGGGGCCTTCTCCCCGGGGGGCAGGGCCCCACAACCCTGGACCTTGCCCCGGGCTCGGAGTGCCCCCAGCCGGGAGAGGAGGAGGAGAATGAGGGCTCCGGAAAGCACTAGGGCGAGCAGTACAGTGATGGTGAGGAAGTGGGGCCAGTAGGACCGCTGCGCAGCCAGGGCGGCCCCGCCACCAAACATGGTCAGCGAGTCCTCCACGCGCTCCCGGGGGATGCCTGCCAGTTCCGGGTCCAGGGCTCGGGGCTGGCCCTGGCTGTCCACCCAGTAGGAGACCACAGGGTATGAGAAGCCATTCTCAGTGGCCCAGCACTGATAGAGGCCCCCCACTCCATCCTGCAGCAGCAGCAAGAGGGAGCCATTGAAGACCATGGAAGAGGCTCCCAGGACTGTTGCTGTCCCATGACTCCAGTGGTAGGAGGCCAGGGCTGAGAGGCGGGGGCAGGGGAGCTCCAGGATGGAGTTGGGAATGGCCAGGACTTCTTTAACTGTAGGTGAAGAAAAAGGGGCAAAATCGTTAAGGGATGTGGAGGAGAAGAAAGACAGGAGAGCCCAGCTGGTGTGGCTCAGCAGCTGAGCATCGACCTAGGATCCAGGAGATCTCGGTTCGACTCCCGGTCAGGACATGCCTTGGTTGCAGGCTTGATCCTCAGCTAGGGGCGTGCAGGAGGCAGCTGATCAATGAGGACTCTTTCATCATTGATGTTTCAGCTCTCTTTCTCCCTCTCCCTTCCTCTCTCTGAATCAATAAAGATATTTTTTTAAAAAAGAAAGGAGAGTGTCTCTACCCTACATTTGGACTACCAAGGAACACCTCCAATTTCCATTTCAACTCCCTAATGCAACTCTGACCCCTTCCCTATCTCCAGTCTGGACCCCAAACTAACTTCCAGTCCATCTCACTCCAACCCTGACACCAAAACCAACATTAACCTCAATCTTGAATCCCACCTTAGAACTCCTATCCCCTCTTCCTATAGCCAGGATCCAAATCCATCCCAAGTCTGGGTGTTCAGGTCTCAAGCCAGGTAGATGCTGGAGGAAGAAACTGAGGCAAGAATGCCCACCCCTGCCGAGAAATCCTCCCGAGCCTTTGCCCCTTTCTGGTCCCACACTCACTGATTTGGGGGCGGCTCTTTGGCCGGAAGCTCCTGCCCCTGGGACCATTGACACACGCCCACTCTGGGTTCCCTTTCTCCATGTCCTGCCTCCAGGATTTCCTGAGAAGGGAAGGAAATAAAAAATCATCCCTTCATACAAAAGTGAAAAGAGCAGGGAGGAAGCAGTGGGAAAGAAGGTTGTGGTGGGGGGACACAAGATAGAACAGAGTGGAAGAGAGACCCAGGATGCTGGAGCAGCTTCTAAACTGCTGGGTGCAACCCCATCCTGGAGGAGCCCACCACGGGAGGGGGCTCTTGGAAGGAATGTGTCCGCAGCCCCTAAAGAGAGGAAGAACAGGGGCACAAGCTGGGTAGAAAGGGTCCTGGCACCATCCAGGACTGGCACTCACGGGATGGAGGCGGGCAGGAGGCGGCAGATTCCGGACTCAGGGTCCCAGGCACAGTGTGGGTCCCGGGCAAGGACACAGTCCACACAGCTCTCATAGACACTACAGTTGGCTCGGGGAACCCTAACGACACCTCCTGAGAAGCCTGCAAACAATGCACCCTGGAAGAGAGATGGACAGTGTCAGGGCGCTCCTGCCACGCCTAGCAAGGACCCAGCACCCTAGGCCTGCCCCATGGGAAGGTCCCTTCTCACCTGGGTCGGGGCCAGCAGCAGGTTTCGAACAGGTTCAAGGTCAGGAAACAGCTGGATCTCCTCTACCAGATAAGCTCTGCTGTCCCTACTCACCACAGCCTTATGCAGGGACCCTGTGGCTGTGGAGAGACAGAGAGAGTTGAAATTGCCTGGCCTCTTCCACAGACCCCTCTCTTCTCCCTCCCCGACTCCAGATGGCCTCCCAGCTGTAAGAAAGTTCTCTCTGAAGTATCACATGCACTGGACACAAATCTGTCAGAGCGTTTCCCTCTGTGCCGTGCAGATGGGAGCGCTCTTGTAAACAGCTTGAAATCCCTGAGCCTGTCCTTCCTTTGCAACCACCTGATTAAACTCCATCCTTGAAGGAACACAATTGCCCACATTCTCCATGGACGTGGGGCAGTGGACAGCTGAGTGCTTCTGTGGAAAATCACATCACCAGCCTCCCTCACCTCCATTAAGTGTTTCTACTCAAAGGCACTTCAGTGAGTTCTATCCTGACCACCCTTTTAAAAATTGCAACCACTCTGACTGGCATTACTGATCCCCCTCGTATTAGACTAATTTTCTAATGTCATAACATCCGACGTCATTGACTTGGTATGTTTATGGTCTGTCTCCCTGCACTCCACAAGGACGAGCTGTTTGTTTTGTTCTCTGTGTACCCCATAAATGCACGGCTGATAGGGTGCCTAGTAACAGGTCCTGAAAGAATGAATGAATCTGGTAGGTTTCTTCCACTAAAACTCAAGGTCATCCACCTCACCAGGCCTCAATATATATGCCTGGCAACCTTCCACATTCCCGTGACTCTCTCTCCTTCTTTCCACAATGACTATCTGCATCCACCCCTCTCTACTCAAGCCTCCCACCTTTTCCACCCCTCATTCCCAGCTCAGGACCTGTGTCCTCCTACTTATAGAGAATGCAAAAGCCTTCATGAAAGAGCTCTCTCTGCTGTCCTGGCCGCTGTGGCTCAGTTGGTTGGCGCATTGTCCCATACACCAGAAGGTCGTGGGTTTGATTCCTGGTCAGGGCACATGCCCAGGTTGCGAGTTTAATCCCCAGCTGGGGTGCATACGGGAGGCAACTGACTGATGTTTCTCTCTCTCCTCCTTTCCAGAAACTTCCTCTCTCTAAAATAAATAAAAACATATCCTTGGGTGAGAATTAAAAAAAGAAAAAAAGCTTCTGCCCCCCCCCAGGCTATATATGCCCCCCTGACTCCCACCCCGGCAGAGCGGCTGGCCCTCCTCTGTTTACAGCCAGTTTCTCCACCCATGTCCTGGACTCTGGCTTCCTGCTCCCTCTGCAACTTCATCTGCCAATTGTCTCCTCGCCTGCCCATCTCTCACCATCTCTCTCTCTATTGGATCTTGACAATCTTTCCACATTTAAAAAGACCCCACACCCTCCTCCAGTCACCCCCTTCCTCTCTTCCCCTTCACAGCCAAGCCTCCTGAAGAATGAACTCTGCACTTGCTGTGTCCAGCTCCCCTCTACCCACTCACTCTCACCTCTTGAACATGGCCTCCCCCAGAAGATAAACAGCTCTTGCTACGCCTGTGTGTGTCTCCCCAACCAGGCTGAAAGCTCAGAAAAGGTAGGGACTGGGCTGTTTTGTTTCCCAGCTGTATTTTCAGAGCCTAACAGGGTGCCAGGCACATAGCAGGTGCTCAGAAAACATTTGTTGAATAAACGCATGAGTGAATGACTCAGAGATTTCCCTCTTCTGCTCTAGTCCCCTGAGGGATGCCCTGAAGCCTTTTACTCACTGGTTCCCAGGTACATGACCAGATAGCTGTGCCCATCAAGGCCCTGGGCTGTCTCCACTGCAAGTTGTGTGTACTCCACACCAGACTTCACCAGCAGGGGCGTTCCCACCACCTGTTCATCCATCAGGAAATGGTCCTTCATGAAGGTCAAGGCCTTATCAGAGGAGGGGCTCACCGAGCACTGCAGAGGGAAGAAGGCAGATCAGGTTAGCTTTCTCCTTCCTGTAAGCTCACTCACTGCCTCTTCCCTCCTTTCTTCCCCCTCTGCTAATCTTTGCCTCCTTCCTTCGTGGCTGCCCTTATCTCTGAAAGTTCGAGTCCCGAGCTGCCTGGCTCTGAGTTCTAGCCTCTGCACGCCTGAGGCTCCTTAATGGTAAAATGGGTGCATTACCAAAATAGGCTTGCTGTGAGGATGAACAGTAAAATACATTAAAAGTAATTAGAACAGTGATTGGCATGAATTAAGGACTCAATAAATGTTAGCCATTATGACTCTCCTCCCCTTCCTCGCCTTCATCAGGGATGTCTGGCAGCTGGCAGGAAGCAGGGCGAGAGCCCTTAGCAGGCAAGGACTCTGTTTCACTCACGTCTATAGCCCAAGGCTTAGCACAGGACATGGCACACAGTTGTTGCCCAATAAATGTTTGCTGAGTCAGTGATTAAATGAAAGATGTCACATAAAAAAGTGGTGTGGCAGGGAGTGTTTCTCGTCGAGGTTTTGCATGAACCTGCTATATGACTCTAGGAGAGTCTCTTCTCCTTTCTGGGCTGCCTTTTCTCACCCATAAAATGAGGGGTTGAACTGGTTGTTCTCTAAAGGCTCTGCCAACACCAGTATGCTAGGGCTTTGGGGACACCTGTGTTACGTACGATCTTTAGTCAGGACCCTTGTCCTTCATACCCAAGAGCACTGTCTTAGGGCCAAACCCAGTTCTGTCACCTACAAGCTGTGTCCTCAGACAAGTTACTCCACCTCTATGAGCTTCAATCTCCTTATCTGTAAAGTGAGGTAATAGCATCTATATCACATTTTGATGCCAGAATGAGCATATACACCTACTCTTGCTTCCTCCCAAAGGAATTTTTTTAAAAGGAGAACCTACAGGGATGGGGAGAACAGGAGAGGAAACAAAAGCCTCACATTTTGGAAGCTGGAAAACAAGTGAGCAAATAGTAAAAGACTTAGCAGGGGGAAAAAAGTCTTCTTAAGATGGCCTTGGGATAGACCAAAACTATTTGATTTATAAGACAATTTCTAAAGTTCATGAATTAGTGGCCTTCATCACCTCTGGAAGTGGGGAAAAAGGGGGCTGAATAAAGAGAATTGTTTGAAAAATCTGTTTAAAAAGCAGGCAGGTCTCCTCCCAGCTCCATGCTCCTGAGTGACTGTCCCTTCCATGCCCTAGTCCAAGACTGGAGGTTTGTTCTCTGGAGAGGGTAAGGCAGAGGGTCTCTGGATGGAGGACAGCAGGCACAGTTGAAGAGGGACACCACCATGAAAGCAGGGGAGTAAATAGGCACAGTACAGGCTGATACCCTTCCCCACACCAACCATCTTCCCCAAGGCTCCCTGACACCAGGAACCAGACCATCTTCCTCAAAGCAGAAGACCAGAAGAGCCTGCTCGGGGAACACTGACTAGAGGTCCCAGAGGAAAGACTTAAAGATACTAGCATTGAAGGTCCCCAACAAAATAGCCCAGCTAGACCATCCTCAGAGGAGCTACGATGGCGCTCAAGTTGCCAAGTCATATCCATGGGCACAGAGTTTCCAAACAGCTTCATGGTCCCCCGCTCTTAAATATAAGTAGATAGCCAAGGATTACCAGACATGTGAGTGAAACCATGATCATGAAAGAGACCAAAGCAAACAAATGGAAAAAATGAACAAACAAAAACCTAAGAGGAAACAGAAATGATTCAGAGAAAAGAAAACTTCACACCAAAGTATCATTACTATCTTGAGAAATAAGTGAAGATAGTATACTCATGAAACAAGAACATAATGCTACAAAAAAGGAGATCTTACTTCAAGAGGACAGCCAAACATTGCATACGTCTTGAAGGAAGGACACACTACCATGACGAAGTAGTCTTGCCACCCACCCCCCCAATCAAACTTTAATCTGATCAAGTCTCTAGATCCAACCACCAATTTATAGGAAATACTGAAATTCGGACACCAAGAAGCAAAATCATCAAAATCCAGACTATGGAAGATTCTACATGACAAATAAATTACAAGAGAAAAAAAGAAGATAGAAAGGGAACATCTAGATTAAAAGAGACTTAAAAGAACCACCAACCCAAATTTATAGATCTTATTTAGATTTTCACTTAAATAAACAAATTCTATTTTACAATACTTTTCTGCCCTAGCCGGTTTGGCTCAGTGGTTAGAGTTTCAGCCCACAGACTGAAGGGTCCAGGGTCTGATTCTGGCCAAGGGCACGTACCTCGGTTGCCGGCTCGATCCCTGGCCCTGGACAGTGTGCGAATGGGAGGCAACCAATCGATGTGTCTCTCTCCCATCAATATTTCTCTCTCTTTCCCTTCCACTCTCTATGAAAAGCAATGGAAAAAATATCCTCAAGTGAGGACTTAAAAAAAATAATAAAATAAAATATTTTTCTGACATCTATGAGACTATCAGAAATTTGAACAAGAAGTGCATATTAAGAAGTTACTAATTTTTCTGGTGTAATAATGGTACTATGGGTACTTTTTAAAGCCCTATCTTTTGGAGGTACATACTAAAATATTTATAGATGATGTAGTAGGTTGAATGATGCCCCTCCCCTAAATATACCTCTAAAATATGGCCATCTAAAACCTGGGAATGTGATTGTCCAAGTCCAGCTCTCAGGTCAGTTGGAAGTCACGTCTTCTCGGGGTCCTCCTCTGACACTCTGATCGCTGCTTATGCTCAGAGATGACCTATCTGTGGAATTCCTGGATACCGTTCATACATTGTGGGAGGCCATGCTGGCCAAAGGCGAGTTCAGAGTGAAGGAAATGCCTACAGTCTTATTGTGTTCCATTCTTTATCATCACACAATCTCTGCTTCTGCTTCTATCACATCATCAAAATTTAGGTAAGAAGAAGAGACACCATCAGCTCCTGTAACTACCAGTGGCCTGAGTTCCCACTACCTGAGTTATCAAGTTGAAGGGAAGTCTTCAGTGTGGCAAAAGGCCCCAGGGGGCCTGGCCCCTGCTCCTCCCTCCAGCTTCATTCACAGTTATACGGCAGCTGGAAGAGTGGAAGCAGCCATCTGTGTACCCACAGTACTCCAAGAAGTCCACTGAGATTCCCAGTTTGTCCACTCCTTCTCCAATCTTCCATCTCTCCCTCAAGAGTGCCGTGAAACCCCCTGAGGAGCCCTAACCTGCAGCTCCCCTGTCATCTTGCTCTAGTAAAGTGGTGCCATGTAGGTGATCTCTTGCATGTCAGTCATTTTTACAAAATCTGATAAAATGTCTGCTTCTTATCCAAGAGAACAAATGTTGTCTCCTACACAGACCAAATAAATATATGAAACTAAAACAGGTGTCAAAATTACATCTTTAAGTGTTCATACAGTTGCTAAAAATGACCTCTCCCTAAAATCTCTGTGTATGAATAACAACTAAAGCCATAGGTAACCTAAATAAATATCTAAGCTTTTTGTTAAATAAATAAGTAAAACCTGTGAGTCTGACTTTACTTGCAAAAAAAGGTCCTTGTAGATATCATTTAAAATCTCAAGATGAGCTCAGTCTGGATTATGATGGGTTCTAAGTCAAATGACAAGTGTCCTTATAAGAGAAATGGAGGAGACACAAAGAGGAGAAGGCGAAGCGATGACAGAGGCAGAGACCGGAGTGATGTGCCTGCAAGGACTGCCGGCAGCCAAGCGGAAGCGGGGAGAGAGGCATGAAGAGACTCTCCCTCAGATCCTCCAGAAGGAACAAACCCAGCTCACACCTTGATTTTGAACTCCTGGCCTCCAGAACTGTGAGAGAATAAATTTCTGTTGTGTTCAGCCACCAAAATTGTGGTAATTCATTATGGCAACCATAAGAAATTACAGATGAAATGACATGATGTCCAGAATTTGCTTCAAAATAATAAGGGAGGAAGTGGGTGAAGTAGAGATGAAACAAGTTTGATTCGCTATGAGCTGAAGCTGACTGATGGGCATAGGGAAGTCCAGCACACTATTCTGTCTGCTTTGGGTATGTTTAAAATTCTCCATAATAGAATATTTTTTATTAAAAAAAAAAAATCCTTAAGGCTCAAAAAATCTAGGAAATTATATATTTTAGCAGAAATTAAAAATCTGGTAGAAGGATCAGAAGATAAAATTAAGTCACCCTCCCAAAAAGTAGAACAAAACTAAAGCCTTGGAAAATAGGAAAGGGTTTTAAAGGCTAGGAGACCAGTCCAGGAGGTCCAGAAAGAAGAGAAAAAACATGCTACCATTAGAATATCAGCTCCATGAGGGAAGGGACTGGTTTTTATTCCCTGCTGTATCCCCAGTGCCTAGAACAGTGGCATGCGGCTTCAAAAATATTTGTTGAATGAAATAGGAGGAAAGAGCTCAAGAAAACTTCTTAGAACTGAAGGAACTAAATTTCCAGGCTGAAGGGGCAAAATGAATGTCCAGCACAATAAATGAAAAAAAGAAAAGAAAAAAAAAAAAGAGTAAATAAATAGAGTCTCACCAAAGCACAATATTGTGAAGTTTCAGAACAGCCAGGGACAAAGAAGAGACCCTGCAAGATTCCAGTGAAGAAAAACTAGGTGAATTTCAAAGAGTTAGGGATCAGAATAGCTTTGGACTTCTCCACAGCAGCCCTGGAAGCTAGAAGAACATAGAGCAAGCCTTCAAAGTTGTTAAGGGAGATTCTAGTCTCGACTTACATGTACCTACCCATACTGTCAAATGTGGAAGTAGAATAAAGACATTTTCAGACATTCAAGGCCTCAAAAGATTTTACAGCCATGCATCCCTATCCAGGAATCTACAGAGACTATCCCCCACTAAAATAAGAGAAAAAAGAAGCCATGAGATGCAAGAAATATGAGATCATCACAAGAAAGAGGCAAAGGGAATGCCTGGAATGAGGAGGAAGGGAGATTCCAGGATGGCAGCGGTGCCCGAATGTAGGGGCCCTCCAGTCCAGACTGCAGCAGACAGGACGGAGCTCCAGGAAGATGAAACTGTTAGAACTCCTAACTGCCTGTCTTCAGAAGAGATTCAGATAATTGAGTAAGAGTTTGAGGCTGGCTGCTCTGTCTGTGGAGGAGCCACTCTGTCTCACTGCTTCACTAATAAACTCTCTTTTCCTTAAAAAAAAAAAAGAAAAAAATTTGAGGTTAAATTAAAGACAAGAGCTTAGAAAATAAAGCAAGCAAAGAAACATCAAAATAATAACTAACCCCAGGGAAAATAAAAAATTATGCAAAGGGGAAAGTAATCAGGGCTCACTACTTGGCTGATCTGTGAATAATAAGACTCTTAATATAAATATTGATCTAACCAAAATTGCTATAAAACTGTGTGGGAAGATGAGAGTTAGGTGCGCTGGTGTGTTGGTAAGGCAGCTCTGGAGCAAGGGGTGGGGGAGCCCTGATTTGTAGTGCTCATTGATTCCCGTGGTTTATACTCCCACATGGTTGATTTCAAGTTACCAATGTAATATCATTGGACACAAATTTGGAAAGAGATGTGCAAAGAGAGTCCTTGCTGGTTGCTGTAAGCCAGCTTCAGCACACCACTGGGTATGGGAACACAGTTAAATCCTCACTTCCTAGAATGGGAATGCAACAGATACTGCCTGAAACTGAAACACCGAGACGTAACAATAAAAGTATATTATTTAGAGATTTGGAGATAAATACCAAAAGAATCAATTGAAAGAATTGAAGCTGGTTTGCTCTAGGAAGGGAAATAGAGCTGTTTTTGTAACTAATCATGTAAACCTATATGATTCTTTAAATGGTGTGCATATACAACTCTGATTAAAAAACAAAGTTAAATAAGAAATGCAGGTGAAGATGCCCAACACAGTCCTTGGCACAGCCCATGCTCCCTTGTTTCCTCAGTGAGATACCAGGTATTTGGCGTGTACTTAGCTGGGGTAGAAGGGGCTGCTCTATGTGTAGGATGGGGCTGGACACCTGTGGAATGTGGGCAGCTGGACCAGGTGTATATCTGAGCAGAAAGGACTGGTGGTGGTCGAGAGGAGAATTGACATTTATTATGTCATGATAGGTACTTTGGTAAGTGCATTATGTGTGTGTCTCTGTGGCAGAGATGGGGCTTTGGTCAGTATGGGGGCTGTTACTCACGCTGCCTGGTCGAGGACTGATATCATCAGGGACCTCATGAGTAGTCCATCGTGAAGTCTCTTTGTTCAATGCCTTGTACTTGCCCTCAAAGACACGGTTGATGTCCTTGAGAGAGAAGGCACAGACGGCTGAGCTCCTGGTCCCGCTGATTTGCCTGGAGACAGCCAGAGGGGGCATTGTCTGTGATCTCAGCTATATGGGGAAGCTCTCCCTCAGCTGGTGAGAAACCCCAGGAGGGCAGGAATGTGGAGGGCTGGGCCAGCCTCTAGCCACCTCTCCTTCCCCTAGTTGTGGTGATAAGGGCTGGGAGGGCCCCTAGCTCTGGCCCCAGCCTCTAGCCACTTCGAAGCCCTCCTCCTTAGGCCCCATGGTTTCCTGGTCCTCAGAGAATGAACCAGAGGCTGGATACAAGACTATTTTTATTCCTTCAGCCCTGGTCCGTGGAGACAGGTCTGTCTTTCTTGTTCTCTTTAACTTGACTGTGGCACACATCGTGTTCTAAGTTCTGGATGCCATAGATACCAGGCCCTGCTTACACCAGACATCTCTGGTCCCGGACACACTGTCAGCAGATATTTAAAACACTGTGGGACCAGCCCACAACACATCGCTTAACCTTTCTTAGCCTCCAAGCAATGGCTGGTGGTGCTTCCCTCCTTGCTCTGGCCATTAGGAAGCTCAGAGCTGTTATGTGACTGGCACCCGGGGACTGTATAAATGCCAAACATTTGTAATGTGTTGATACTATCCTTGGCTTCTCTTATTCTCCTTTTATTCCCATTTCCTTATTGGATATTTTAGTTTAGTTTAGTTTAGTTTAGTTTAGTTGATTTTTTGGAGCCAGCCAGGATATAAACTAATAAGAACCTCTCGGAGCTTTATTCTCCCCATCTACATGAAGGGCATAAATCAAATTTCTGGGAGGNATTGCCCGGCAGCAGGACGGCGTGGCGGATGACGTTGAAGGGCAGCTGCCCGGGCTGGGCACAGAGCAGCGGGGCCTTCAGGAACGTGGTCCACTTCTTCTGCAGCACCTTTTCACCGCCCACGTCGTTCTAGGGACACGGCCGGATAAGGGGCGCCCCTTGCCCCACGTGTCTCCGCCCCCTGGCCCGCCTTTCCCCTCTCC